TATTACTGCAAGGAATGCACATACAGATAGGATTGCAGATAATTAGTGTGGGGTAGATCTGGCAGCATTTGTGGAGAGAAGGTAGCGTTAATATTTTCAGTCCAGTAACTCTTCAGAAGTGGCCCTTCAGTTCTGAAAAAGGCCACTGAACTCAAAACGGTAAAAGGCCCAACTCAGGTCCATGCCTACCAGATATCCTAAATTAATCTAGCCATATTTGCCAGCAATTTGGCCCACATCTCTTCAAACCCTTCCTATTCATGTTCCCATCCAGATGCCTTTTAAATGTTGTAATTGTACCAGCCAATCCTGTCACTATCTTGTCTACCAGCAACTCCAATTTCAAGGAAATATGAACCTGCACCCCAAGGACTCTGTTCAGCAGCCACTTTGGATCCTTACTATTTTGTATCCTACCCTAACTTGCCTTACCAAAATGCAACACTTCACAACTATCTGAATTAATCTCCATCTGCCACTTCTCAGCCATCGGCCCATCTGATTGAGGTCCCGTTGTATTCTAAGATAACCTTCTTTGCTGCTACTACACCACCCATTTTGGGGTCATCTGCAAACCATGCCTCTTATATTCAGATATAAATCATTTATATAGGTGACAAAATGCAGTGGACCCAGCACCGATTCTTGCAGCACACCGCTGGTCGTAGGCCTCCAGTCCAAAACGCCTTTTTTAAATAGCGGTACTGCATTAGCCAATGTTCAGTCTTTTGGCACCTCACCTCTGGTTATCGATGATACAAATATCTCAGCAAGGGGTCCAGCAATCACTTCCCTAGCTTCCCACAAAGTTCTGATCCTAGGGACTTATCCACCTTTATGTGTTTTAAGACGTCCGGCACCACCTCCTCCATAATATGGACATTTTTCAAGATATCATTATTTATTTCAAGTTCTCTAGCTTCCATATCCTGATAAACAGTAAAAACTGATGTGAAATACTCTTTTGGTATCTCATGCATCTCCTGTGCTTCCACATATTGACAGCCTTGTGGATTACTCTTTTGTCCTTAACGTATTTGTAGATACCCTTTGGAATCTCTTTAATGTATTTGTCAAAACCAGGTCGTGTCCCCTATTTGCCCTTCTGATTTCCCTCTTGGGTATACTCCTATTGCCCTTATACTCCTCTAGGGATTCACTCAATCCTAGCTGTCTATACCCGACATATGCCTCCTCCTTTTTCTTGACCAGAGCCTCAATTTCTCCAGTCATCCAACATTCCCTACACCTACCAGCCTTGCCCTTCACACCAACAGGAACATACTAATTAAGAAGCCAAATGGAATTTTGGCCTTTGCTAGGAGTTTGGAAATTGGAAATTGGAAATAGGGATGTGTTAGAGTCAGTCCCCACTGACCAAAAACAATAACCTCTGACCTGCATCCACTTATCTCCGTCTCACCTACCCTCCCCACAGCCCCATGGTCTCCCTTTATTTATTTATTTCTGGGCTTCCCTCCCCAGTCCTGAAGGGTTTCCGCCCGAAACATTGTCTTCTCTGCTCTTCAGATGCTATCTAACCTACTGTGCTTTTCCGGCTATACGTTTTTTGACTCGAGCTTCTAGCATCTGCAGTCCCTTCTGTCTCCTACTCTCAGTGCACTGTCCAACAAAGGCAAGCATACCAAATACCTTCTTCACTATCTTATCTACCAATGAGTCCACTTTCAAGCACCAAGTACCTGCACTCCAAGGTCTCTTTGTTCAGCAACACTCCCCAGGACTTTACCACCAAGCATGTAAGTCCTGCCCTTCTGTCTTTCCAAAATGCAGCACCTCACATTTATCTAAATTAAACTCCATCTGCCACTCCTTGGCCAATTGGTCCATCTGATCAAGATCCCATTGTACTTGGAGGTAGCCTTGTTCGCTGCCCCCTACACCTCTAATTTTGGTGTCATATGCAAACTTACTAAACTTATCTCCTACATTTACATCCAAATCATTTATATAGATGACAAAAAGCAATGGACCTAGCACCAATCCTTATGGTACACCGCTGGTCACAGGCCTCCAGTTTGAAAAGCAACACTCTACCACCAACCTCTGTCTTCTACCTTCGAGCCAGTTCTGTATCCAGATAGCTAATTCTCCCCGTACTCCGTGCAGGATCTAACCTTGCTAACCAGCCTACCACAAGGAACCTGGAACCCTTTCCTGAAGTCCATATAGCTTACATTTACTGCTCTGCCCTCATCAATCCTTTTGGACCCTGCATTTTAAAAAAGCTTATAAAAGGTTTTGGAAGCAAATCAAGAGATTCAGAAGGCTAATTCTTGGGTTGAAGGAATTGATTTATTGGGAACAGCTAGGCCTTTATTCATCCATGTTTAAAAGGAAGGGAGAGAGGCGATCTTATCAAAACATGCAAAATCCTTTTGTTGGGGGGGGGGGGGGGGGGGGGATGGGGATGGCATGGCATGACAGGGTAAATTTTAAGACGACTGTTTCCATTAGTGGGGGAAATCTCAATGAGGCAACATAGTTACTTACTTCTTTGGCATCGTATGTGGGGATCACTGCCTAGACCAGCACTTATTGCCCAGGCAGCAATTAAGAGGCAACCACTTTGAAATCATGGGCAGGCCAGACCAAGTAAGGATGACAGATTTCCTTCATGAACCAAACAGGCGAACCCTTTATAAATTATTTGGATGAGCACTTGAAGCATCATAACATTCAAGGCTATAGGCCTAGTGTGGGAAAGTGGGACTAGTGTAGGTGGTATATTTTTGACAGCACAGTCTTGATGGGACAAAGGACCGTATGATTCCATGATCACCAACCATCCTACCATCATAATGGTCAGAGCTGGGAATGTTCTCTGATGATTGCAAGTGATCCGTATCATTCACAACACCTCAGATAATGCATTAGTCCAGACCTGGGGAAATTCTTTTTACAGGAATTTGGACTCGCAGGCAAGACTGTGCACATTAGGCCAAGCCCAAACTCTCAAGAGGTTTTACTTTGACATACTTGATTAAAAGGAAATCTGTTCAATCAGGCAAAACATTGGCTTTTCGTGTGATCACAAATCAATGGCTCAACATTTATTTACATGACAGACTTCCATTACTTTTAAGGACGCAGCAAGTGCAATTCCAAAAGATACAAATGTGTGGGTTTAAATAATTTCACATTTATTGGACATGGGTAGGGCAGAGATCATGAATGGGCATGGAGGGTCTTTTCAAAAGGTTTCCAAATCCCGACTATGCTTCACAACTCCTGCAAGGGACCATGATCCCCTAACCATAGAGCAGGTAGCCTGATTATTGGGACTCACCGAACACCACGAACTAAAGCAGAAACCATAGAATCAGGTTCCACTGGCGATTTTGTATGGCTTATAGAGATGTTCCATCTCAGCAAATATCTGTCCCAATGCCAACAGTTGCAAAGTTTACAGAGATAGAGGTATATAGACAAATCATCATGAGGTTTTAAGAGATAGATAATACTTAATGGCCTATAGTTGCTAAATAGTTTCATAAGACTTAGAACTGAAGGTTACCTAGCAACAGCCTCTGGAATTTTGGTTTCTGTTTTGCCAATCTCAGTCAGTTGGTAAATGCTAACCCTTAAGAAAATAGTGGGAGACCTTAGTGAAATATTTCCAGAGAATCAGAGACAAATGCATCCCACACTGTGAACCCAAATGACAATCCTAAATACAGGACCATCCACTTGTTCAGATTAGTGAAAACAAGCCTTGTCAAACCTGAGTTTTGAAGGATGAAGGGAATGTGAACAAACCAGCTGCAGGAATTTTGTTTTCCCTGGTTGTCGAGTCAAGAAACGGGGGGATATGGGTAAGCTATTTAGGCCAGGTGGAATTCTCTACCACAGAATGCTGTGGAAGCCAAGTCACTGAATATATTCAAGGGAGATAACCTTTTAAAGGCATCAAGAATATGGGTAAAAAAAGCCAGAATATGGCAGATCAAGGATCAGCCATAATCATAACGAATGTAGGAACAGACTCAAAGGGCCAACTGGCCTACTTCCATAGTTTCCAAGCTGTTTAACTCTACAGACCTGATTTATAAAATTAAAAAAAAATCAGATTTGAGTGTCACTAGTCTAGCCAGCCAGCATTTATTGCCCATCCCCAGTTGCCCTCAGAGACTTTATAGCGAGCAATACACATGAATGGCTTGTGGGGCCATTTCAGATGGCAACTGAAAGTCAACCACATTGTGTATCTGGAGTCATATGTAGGTGAGACCAGATGAGAATAGCAGATTTCTTTCCCTGAAGGTCAATAGTGAACCAGATGGGTTTTTCCAACAATCGACAATAATTTCATGGTCACCAGTAAATTCCTAATTCCAGATTAAAAAATTAGATACAAATTCCACCATGTGGCGTGGCAGTACCAAGAATAACCTAGCAATAATGCCACAGGGCCATCACCCCCCCGTCCCAGGTGATCTAACTCACAAGGAAGGCTAATTACTGGCCCAGAGATTTTCTACTGAACCAGTCCATGCGAGAAAGGAGAATGCAAACATTAGGGAAAGCGTCTCTTCCCTGCCTACACACATGAAAATGAAGTGCTTGTATGCAGAAATGAAGCACTGCCGATTATAACTCTTTGTAAGGTTAACTTTATTTTAAACTGGTTTGCATTTAGTTATTCAGAGTAATGTTAGACCCTCTCCACCCCACACCAACCCCCTCCCCAAACATCAACAAAAGCTGGAATTGGGTGTTGCGAGTGACAAAATTGGTAGCTTACAACCGGCAAGGGATAGCCACTGCTGCCTATAATGTTTGAGGCACTGGGTAGCCACTTAGTGTGGTCGGAGCCAGCCACAACCTACAGGGAAATGAGGCAGCCTTGCAGGCACCAAAATGCTTTGCAGCTGTCTTCGCGCACATACACACAAATTAAGCTATTCATTCACACCATGAGAATCCATACAGTAAACTACTCATTCACACAAAGCAATTCACAGGCAAACATCACCAAATTTCAAGGCATAACAAAATGTGTATTTATTTTCTTTTAAAATGCGGTGGAATTAAGCCAAATAGGTGTACACAGTTTCTTAATTGTTTGCAAGGTTATTTTGAATTTAAAACAGGGATTCCCATTGAGAACAGAGCTGAGCCTGTTCAGCAACACAGTTAAGACAAGGTTCATAGCACCATGTCTGATGGCTCAGCCCCCCTCACTAAAAAGTTCTTATAATAGCGACCCCCTCTACCCCGACTGATTCACACAATTCTGTTATGGCGCACAGGGTGAAGGATGTGTTTGGGGGGGGGGGGGGGCGCGCACAGAGGGGTGATGGCGGTAGGAGCAACAAGAGGCCAAGCTTCCCCCTTCTACTAAAGGCTGGGAGAGAAGTGGGGCTGGGGTATCCCACTAAGAGGACCAAGCACCATGTACAGTCATACTAAGCAGTTCGACCCGGAGTTAGAGTCAAGCTGTCAGTGACTTGCTGCTCTATAGCAGGTCCTCTGCTCATAGGCTTCCCACATTCAATCTTATAGCAGAGGCAGGCAGGATGGAAAGTTAACCTTCAAAACTGGTGCAAACAAAACAAAGGAAGCAGGGGCAGGGGGTGGGATGTGAGAGAGAGAGAGAAAGAAAGAAAAATGTTTGACCTGCGTTTAAACAAAGTGGCACTGCCCTTTCAAAACTCAAATTCTTATTAAAATTCAGACTTTTCCCACTTCAATGAAGGAAATCCAGCCCCAAGCCTCAAAACTCCCCCTTATGGTGTAAACAGGTGAAGGCAAGACAAAATTCCACAACACAGGGGTAACACAGACTTTATTTCAGCTGAACTACTACCCACTGGCTATTCAAACCCCTCCCCAAAAAGAAAGACAGGGCTTGCTACAGCATCAGAATTCTCTAAGTCCCACATTCCTCTCTGCAAAAGACAGGACAGTAAACCAAGTGTGAGATCTGAGATCTATGTATAACCAGTGAATGAAGTAACCTTGACTAAAGTGGCCACACATACAGACCAGTACAGAATGAAGATGACAGCTAAGAACTGGAAGCCAAATGAAAATAATCAAAAGTAAAGCCACCGTTCCCATTGATAATTAGGGAGTGGTTTGTAAACTTGGAAGGAGAGGTGATTGGAGTAGGACAAAGGCCAGAGGGGGGAGGGGGGGTCACCACTCAATTCAATGCCCTTCTCAGACAGAACACAATCATCTCACCAAGTTTCCCCAGCAACAGTGGGGTAAAAAGATCAGGGCTCCAAAATGAAACCCATTTGCTTATGGTCTACAGTGGGGTTTGTTTTATTGCCAGGGTTTCTGAAATAAAGTTAGTGTTCGCTTGCAAATTTTTTTTGTTTTTTTTTGGTTTTTGATTAAATTATACTTTGTCGTTTTCTCATTGAAATAAAAAGTCTCTCAATCCCAAAGCGCACTTTTAGCCTCTCAGGTCTGGGTTTTTTTTTAAAACCAGAAGCTGTATCCTGAAAAAAAAAACAAAAAGACAACTCAGTACGAAACACAAGACAACCAATTAGACAAGGTGAAATCACAAATTTGTTCCTGGTTAGTTTTGTGGGGAGAGGGAGAAAGAGAAGATGCTACTGCACAAGTGATGGATCTGTATTCCTCTAGTACCTTTCACAGCCCTAGGATATCCCAAGGTGCTTTATAGCCAATGAGCTGCTTTAGAAGGGTGGACCACTGAATTTTTAGAAAGCACACTCACAGGATGTTAGTGCCACTGACTCCACCAGTGGTTTTTGCCCACTTCTAAATGCCCTTGAATTGAATGGGGGTTGCTTAAGGCATTTCAGAGGGCAGTCAAAAGTCAAAGTTGCTGTGGATCCAGAATCTCACTCTTGCCCCTAAAAGAGGATAGTGATCAGAGGGAGTTCTACAACTAGACAGTGGCTACATGGTTGCCTTCATCTTTTCAATGGACATTTTATTGAATTCTAATTCCACCACCTGTCAGGGTGGGATTCAAGCTCTCAGTCCCAGAATATTAGCAGTACACTAACACTGATGTAGAAAACATAGCAGCCAGTTGCTACACGCAAGCCCCAAAAAAGACTCGATCATTTAGTTAACAAAAAAATGGGAGCGATAAATAATCAATGCTGGAAATACTCAGCATGTCTGGCAACATCTGTGGATTGGGTTAAAGTTTCCAGTCTGATGCGACTGGAGTTTCTCCAGTGCTTTTTATTTCAGATTTAGAGCAGAAATATGAATTTACAGGATAATCGTTGGCCTCAGATCAAAGAGACATCTGCCACCCCAGGTTCTACAAAACTGCAGCCATCTGATCCTTTGTATTTGAGGGCAGTGATAAAAGTACAACAGGGACTTGGAGTGACAATCCACAGCTCATCTGCTGCTTCACCTTCCAGTCCTATTTAAAATTCACTAAATTAGATCCTGTTCAAATGTGATGCCCCGTGTGGACAGCAATCCTGACGTTGTGCCAATGGAGGGGAGGAGAAAGTAGAACAGAGCAGGAGTGCGAACAGCAAGGCCCTGGATGGAGTTTGCATGTTTCTTTAGACCACAAAGTTAACCACCAACTAGCGTGACACTGCCTCATAACACTAACCTATGTCGCAGTTACTTGCTCATGACCTTGGCAGCAATAGCAGATTCTTCATTCATGGCGCTGAGGACAGTGATCTGAAGGGTGAACAAAAGAAATAAGTATAAGAACAACATACATAGCCTATTCAATAATGTAATATGCCGCAAGCTTTCTCAATCACTTGTGTCCCGAACCAGATAAAAGCAGGAAGCCCATTCATGGACTGTTATCTGGGTTAATGTTCTGGGGACCCGGGTTCCAATCCCGCCACAGCAGATGGTGGAATTTGAATTCAACAAATATCTGGAATTAAACAGTCTAATGACGACTATGAATCCACTGTCGATCGTCAGGAAAAACACATCTGGTTCACTAATGTCCTTCAGGGAAGGAAACTGTCATCCTTACCTAGTCTGGCCTACATGTGACTCCCGAGCCATGGCAAGGCGATTGACTCCTAATTGCCCCTGGGCAGTTAGGGGTGGACAATAAATGCTGCCTGGCCAGCAATGCCCTCATCCCATGAATGAGGAAAGGAATCAGGATGTCAGCCAGAGATTGCCATTTGATGCTGGGACAGGGCTTGGAGTCTGACTGCCAACGATTAGGAGTTGGCTGCACTTGGCTATAAGGGCGACATGCCAGACAAGTACACAAATTAGACCATTCAGCCCCAGAGCCTGCTTTGCCATTGGATAAGATCATAGCTTACTTGATCGCGGCCTCAGGTTCACATTTCCATCTCTGAACACCCGTTGACTTGTTGCAAATCAAGAATCTAACTCAGCATTAAAAATATTCACTGACCCACCACCACTGATCTCTGGGCTAAAAAAAAAGTTCCTCAGACAGACACAGCCATCCAACTGAAAGGAGACCTCATGAGAACAATGAGACTGGAGACAATTTAAGAGTAATACACTCTGCCCTACTTTCAAATGTTATTAAAATCAATCTGCTGTGGGGGCAAGGAGTGAGAGAAACAGGAACGGGCAGACAAAGTGACAAGTTCACCCTGACAACTTCCACTGAGAGAGGGTGATTCAGGGACAAAGTGGTCCAGGGGAACATCTATTCTTCCTTTAACTTCCACCCAACGGGGTTGGGAGTTAGCATCTAATCTAAAACACTGAACCTGCTGACAGGAACATGCTCCCTCAGCACAGCCTACGAACACCAGCCTGGATTTCTGTGCTTTAGATTGGAGTGGGCCCCAAACCCGATAAATGGAAAAATGCATGCGGACTACTTGCTCAATAGCTGGAATCTTTGGGGAAAATGGCTAATGCAATGTTAGGATGAAGTTCTTTTTAGACAGTAGAATCATAGAATCCCCACAGATTGGAAGGCGGCCATTTGGCCCCAACAAATCCACAGGCCTTTGGAACAGCATCCCACCCAGACCCACATCACCACCACCCTCCCCCCAATCCCACCCTGTCCCTGGATTCCCCACAGCTAACACACCTAGCCTAGACATCCCTGAACACTATGGACAATTTAGCATGGCCAATTCACCTAACTTGCAAGTTTTAGGACTTTGGGAGGATATCAGAGCACCTGGCAGAAACCCTAAATACACAGACCCAAGATTTATTTAGCAAAATGCACTGATCTTTTCACTGTAGACCTGCAGAGGCCATCATTTTTCCAAAAATTGGCCATTCACACCATTCAGTCTGCTACAAGTTATGCAACAAGTTATGGAAGACACCAGCTGTCAAGATAGACTCCCCACAGGTAGTTCTGCTATAACATGTTTTGTTGATGCAAGTTAGCTGCAACGCGATTGATGAATAGTGGACACTTTGGGTAACGCGAACCTTCTGCTGTACAGGTATAGCAATTTCCTATTTTGCAATTTTCTGTAGCACGAGATCACACAAGAACGCAGCTATCACGTTATACTGTGTTTCCCCACGATGCAGCAGAGCGGCTACTCACTGACACACGAAGTCAGAAATAACCCGAATTGCAGTTCAAATTCCTTCAGTCACACCAACACAAGTAGGTTACGGCCATTCAGCACAACCATGGCTGATCTTGTGCTTCAATGCCACGTTCCTGCCTGCACTCTCAATTCCCAAATACACCTACAACACTGGGGTACAGAATTCCAAAGACTGACAACAGACAAGAAATTTCTCATCTCAGTCCCAAACAGCAGACCCCCTATCCTAAGCCCCTTTTTCTAGTCAACAACAACCTGTATCAATCTTGTCAAACCTCTTCCAAACATTGTTTTAATGAAGTCACCTCCCATCAATAAAGACATCTCATTTGTCTTTCTAAACCTGCATGCTGACTTTCTGCATCCCTTAAACAAGTTCACCCAACTCAGAGCATAAAGATTTGTTGGATATTTTCTCAATTTCCTTTTTACGAAAGAAAGTGTCAGAGTTACACAGTACAGAAACAGACCCTTCAGTCCAACTCGTCCATGCCAACCAGATATCCTAAATTAATCTAGTCCCATTTGCCAGCATTTTGACCATATCCCTCTAAACCCTTCCTATTCATATACCCATCCAGATGCCATTAAAATGTTGCCATTGTACCAGCCTCCACCACTTCCTCTGACAGCTCATTCCATACACGCACCACCCTCTGAATGAAAAGTTGCCTCGTCGGTCCCCTTTAAATCTTTCCCCTCACCTTCACGGTATCACCCTGGCACCCCCTCACAGGGGAGCTAACATTTTCCTTACTCCCCACGAGAAACGTTTCTGATGGAATGAACCTATGCTTCTTAATCTGTGCTCACTTCCAACATGCAATCTGCTATATTTGAACCTGTAATTGTTAAGGCCAGTCAGCCAGCTTTCTTTCTCCCCTTTGAGGCAATAAGGCCCCAGGCTTTGTTGAATCTTAGTCCCGGAGTTTCTCCAACAATCTCTTATGTCATCACATTTTAAGCCCGGAAGGCAAATCACCAACTGGTATGGGTTTTAGCCTGTCTTCTGTGAAGACTATTTCCTCACTCCCCATATAATTTTTTTACATTTCCTCAAGGGATCTAGCATGGTTTAGCTACTCTCTTCCTTTCTATAGAGACAAAGATTTTATATTTCGGGCCAATTTACTTTCATCCCACTTTTCCCCCACAGCTTAAACTTTTTGATCTCTCAAAACACTCAGAACCCTCAATGCGCTACTGCCTTTTGCATTATAAGAGTCTTCCTTAATCTAATATGATGCTGAATTTACAAATTGCTTTTGAATGAAATGTTCTCTATTAAAAATCCAAATATTGCCCATTTACCACAACACTTGGTGTAGTACAATACTTGTGGCAGATCACCCACCCCTGTATCAATACAAAACCTCTGAACAGTATGAAGCAGTGCAGAGGCCTTTAGGTCCATCGATTTAACCTATTTTCCAAACTGATTTAGTCAACCCTTCCCTCAAACTTAAAGCAGATGACATAGATATATGATTTTTGTTTGCAACTCCACGAGAAAAATCAAAACCCAGTACTGAGACTGACCCTCTTACCAAAGTGCCTTGCCTTTCCAACTCCACCCTAAAATAATAATTAAACAGCACTGGAAAGAAACAAGATACCAGAAAGGGAAGGAAAACAAAGCTAAAAAATACACACCAGTGTCTCCTCGCCAGCATTGTAACGTTGTTCAATGTCCTTGCCCAGCTCTGAATCAGGAAGCTTCAGGTCATCACGCACCTCACCGCTATCACCCAAGAGAGACAGGTAGCCATCCAGAATGCCAATCAGCTGCAGAGAAAACAGTAAATATGACCGGTTAGTCCATTCCCCATACACAGAAAAACCCCATCACCCGCTCCCCCAACAACTATACCTGATAATCAGATCTTCTGATGTTGGGCACATCCATGTTATGGGTGGAAGGGCAGATGTCCTCATACTTTTTGCCAGTGAACAGATCAATGCCAACCAAGTGAACCTAGAGGTAAGACAGCAGATCCGGTGAGGAATCATGCATGAGAGGCTGAGAGTCACTTACACTTGCTATGCAAATACAGAGAGTGATTTATAATGGAAAAGCTGCCGTGAAATGACGCAACATTTTTAATGGGTGAAGCTCACCGAGTCGGTAAATAGTCTCATCAGCAAAGATGTGGAGACTGCAGATCTCAGTGGAGTTAGGTAGGTGGACAGGGCAGTTGGGTCTGGGCGAGAACAGGAGCAAGAAGGAAAAAAGGAGGAGACGAAAGTGAAGGAAGGGAAGCAGAGAAAGAGACACTTGGGAGGAAAAGTGTGAAGACAGTCAGAATGCAAACATTTTGATAGAACAGAAGGACCTAGGGGTTCAGGTACAATTTAGGTACAAAGACAGGGTGGTTAAAAATGGCATTTAGCATGCTGGCATGAATCGGTCAGTCCTTTGAGTATAGGAACTGGGAAGTCACGTTGAGGTCGTACAGGATATTGGTGAGGCCTCTTCTGGAATACTGCGTCCAGTTCTGGTTGCCCAGTTATAGAAAAAATATTAAGCTCAAGGGGATTCAGAAGAGATTTACCAGGATGTTGCCAGGTATGCAAGGTTTGTGTTATGAAGAAAGGCTGGGAGTTTTATTACTGGAGCATAGGAGGTTGACAGGTGACCTTTTAAAATGTTTATAAAATGAGAGTTTAGTAGAGTCAATGGTAGTGGTCTTTTCCCTAGGATGGGGGATTTCAAAACTAGGGGGCACATTTTTAAGGTGAGGAGAGAGATTTAAAAAAGACATGAGGGGAATTTTTTTTTAAAAACACGCAGAGGGTGGTTCGTGTGTGGAATGAACTTCCAGAGGAAGTGGTGATTGTGGGTGCAGTTACCACGTTTAAAAGATATTTGGATAAGTACACGAATAGGGAAGGTTTGGAGGGATATCGGCCAGGAGCAGGCAGGTGGGACTAATTTAGTCTGGGATTATGGTTGGCATGGACCTGAAGATAACCAGGGTCCATACTGGCTGACACATTCCTGAGGCATGAGTACCAAAACGTAGGCACTATTATAAGGCAGAGGCAATTTACTTCAGCAATGACAACAGTGGCAATTTTCTCTGCAGACCATTTCAAGAAACCTCACACCTGAGAACAAGTTAAAATTGAGCAGTTTCAAATTCTGAAAGGTATTGACGATAGAGAAACTGTTTCTAGTGACAGAAGAGTGGCTGACCAGAGCTGGAATAGACAGAAAAGAATAAAATTACAAAATAAAAGGGGGATGCGGAGAATACTTTTCCCCAGTGAGTTGTGATTTGGAACACGCTGCCTCAAATGGAACAAGATTCAATAGGAACTTTCAAAAAAGGGAGAAACTGGAGCAATATTTGGAGGTTTGCAGACCCATCAGGAGAGAAAGGGTGCAGGATTAATAGAATTCAGCCAGCACAGGTACAATATGTTGAATGGCCTCCCTTTACACTAAGCCTCAGGCTGATCAGGTTTTGTGTTGATCCAGTGACTGATTGTCTGCCACAGCACACTGTCTGCCTCTGTGACAGGAAGAACCTCACTCAGAGCAGGAGGAAGCACAGGTTACAGCACACCATTAGGGGAGCAAAATACAAATGTACAGCTATCCAAGAAGTCTCAGCATTGTTCACCATTTGAACAGTCAGATTCACAGGTACTGCAAAGGGAGGGGTAACACAAAGCTGTATTTTTTACAATGGCACTAGCAACCAAAATCACTTCAGGGAAGAGTCACCAAAATTTGAATGAGCCATAGAAATTTAGACAGGTGACAGGCAAATTGGTCAAACAGGGAAGTTTTAAGGGTCTTAGAAGGAGATTGAAAAGACACAGAATTTTAGAGCAGGGATTCTAAAACTCAAGGTCTAGACAGCCGAAGGGATGGCTGCCATCTGTGAACTGAAGACTGGGGAATACTCAAGTAGTCAATTATTTAAGTGTTCACTCCCGAGTACCTTCAGAGGCTACTGAAATCAAGTGGGCTCTCACCTAGAGGGACCTGAAGAATATGATATTTAAAGTATTACTGCACCAGAAACCAAGGCAGGGAATGGTGAGCTCAGTGCTTTGGGTGGTGATGGGGCATGGGCTTTGGTTTGGTGTACACAACATAGTGCCAGTTAGAACACTTTCAGGATGAGCTCCGATTTATAGAGGGAGGCCAGCAAAGCCTTGAGAAGTTGCCATCACACCACTCTTACCTTGGCATGGCCATGTTTGCCAGTTTTGGAAGTTGACATGTCCACAATCTTGCATGGGCGCCCTTTCAGCACCACAAAACCATTTTTGCGCAGAGCAGAGCATTGCATTGGATAGGTGGTGGAAGCCCCAGAGTGGCCAGTCTCAAAATCCACATCGGAAGGATCAGCCATCTTTGAACGTTGATTGAGTGGTGCTGCCAGAGAGGAAGCACAGGCAGTAAGCTCTGTGGTCAGTTAGCCAAGTGTCCCATTTGCATTGTTCTGACATTTAGTAGCATAACCCATTCATATCAGACACAGCCCATCAGAAAAAGCCCATTTCAACATGTCGTCTTAGCAGGAATGCTCAACCACACCCTTCTCAAACTACTTCCCATCCACTCATACTTGTTCCAGCAATACTCTGGAATCTTATTCAAAAAGTCAGTGACTGGAAGTAAATTTCTAGACCCAGACAAGAAATTTACAGCCTCTGCTATTTAAGATGCTTCAGTCACGAATGACTGTTCATGAAAAATCAATTCTCTCCAGAACTGTGATTAAGCCTAATCAGATTAGGCAACAATTTGCAATTACATCACAACTAGTGAAACAGAGGCACTTCACAGCCAATGTTATCAAGCCATAACTGGCACTGGGACACAGCACGCAATCTAGGCAGCTCAAAGTCCTTTTATTTCCAAACAAGCCAGATTTTAACTGTTAAATACCCAATAACTAAGTGACCTTCATTGTTCTCTCTCCTTCTCTGCCCTTGTTTTAAGCGCAGGGAATGTTAATGTTTCAGCAGACACATTCTCCTGAACATGTTAACCCATCTCCATGGACTGAATACCACACTGTGGTTCAGTGGGTTGCAGTATCTCCTCTGAGTAAGGTGTTTGTGGGTACAACTCACTTCAAAAGGCCTGAGCACATAATCCAGGCCAACATTCAAGCAGTGCTGCATACTCAAAGGCCCTGTCCTGCGTGGTGTGTAACTCTGGTTCCATCTCCAATGGGCCAATAGATCCCACAGGAACCAACAGCAGGAAGATTGATTCCTGCCCCAGGGCAGTTACTGAACATAGCCGAGACCACTTAAGCAAACAGCTAGAAGCCACCTCGGCTGGTTCTAGAACAAAAAGCAGTCAGGCCTTTGAGGTGATGTCAGGAAGCACTTGGTCACATGAAAGGGAGTGGAAATCTGGAACAGATTTGAGAAATAGTAGGCTATTCAGCCTGTCAAGCCTGCTCAAATGATCATTACTGACTTTTGGCTTCAACTTCTTTCTGTCCTGCTTCCCATATCCCTCAAGACACCAGAGTCTGCTGACTGCTGCCTCTGAAATATTCAATGACAGATCCATCTTAATATTGAGTGAAGAAAATTCTCTTCACCTTTGCCCAAAATGGCTGACCCTTCACCCCAATACCCAGTGCCTTGTGTTTCAGATTCCCCAGCCAGGGTAAAAGAACCTTAGAGCCAACCCTGTCAAACACCTCCAGAATCTCACCTATTTCCATGAGACTATCCTCATTCTTATAAATAAGGGACAACAGGCAATTTATTCAGCCTGAGGACTAAACGCTTATTAGCACGGACAAATTCAGTCAACCTTTACTATCTTGCCCCCAATGCAAGCACATCCTTGCTTAAACAGAGCAAAACTGCACACATGTTCCCATTGTGATCTCAAAGTCTGGTACAAATGTAGCAAGATTACCTTACGTGCTAATCCCCTTGTAAGAAGGCCAACATGTCAATTGACTTCTTAGTCACTTGCTGTACTTGCAAACTAACATTTTGTTTTTGATGCACAAACACTTCGAAGTCTTTTTGAAAAGGACGATTTATAAAGTTTCACACTTTACAAAAATAATTCTGCTTTTTATTCTTATAAAGAAGATGACTAATTCCACATTTCAAATCTTCAGCTTGAAGTGAATGATCCATCATGGTCTTCTCACAAGGTTCCCATAGCACTGATGCCTGTCAAACAACTCAAGTAACGAACACACTAGACCCTGTAAAAATCTATGCTCCAGAACTAGCCAAGCTCATTGGCAAACTGTTCCAGTACAGCCACACTGGTATCTGTCCGATGTGGAAAATCACCAGTCATACTCTGGACAACTAAGATGACAATTTCAGCTGTGACAATCATCACATCAACTATCCTTAATCGAAGTGATGGAAGGGGTCAATAGCAGCACTAACAAACAGCAAACAAAACTGGATCATTAACATTTTGTTTGGACCTCTCAGCTCTTGACCTCATTACAGCCTTGATCCAAACATGGGCAAGATAGCTGAACTCCAGGGCTGAAGTGAGTGACTGACTTCAATATCAAGGCAACATTTGAGGTTGTAGACTTGCTCGCTGAGCCAGTGCGTTTGGTTGCAGATGTTTCATCAGCCTGCTAGGTAAATAGTCAGTGCGCCTCTGGTAAAGCGCTAGTGTTCTGTTCCGCTTGTTATTTATATGCCTCGGTTTGCTGGGGATGGTTTGGCCAAACAGACATGCCAGGGAATTCTTGGAGGCCTGGTATTCCAACCGGAACTCCATCAACAAACACGATGATTTAGACCCTGCGTACAAACCACTGAGAAACAGAACCCGATGTAACGCCACCCACCCCAGCAAACCGAGGCATATAAATAACAGGCAGGACAGAACAACAATGCTTCACTGGAGGCGCACGGGATGATGTTGCCTAGCAGGGTGACGAAGTGTTCGCAACCAAACACACCGGCTTGGCCAGCAAATCCAAACCTTATCCACAACCCAAGCTACAAATCTTCTCAAAAACTTTGAGGGCAATATTTGACTTAACGTGGCTTGGAGGAGCCTGAGAAAACTGAAACCAATGGGAATTTCCAGGCTCAGGCTTACAAGCGGCGAGTAATATTTGCACCACACAAGTGCTGGGCAATGACATTTTCCAAAAAGAGAATCTAATCACCAGTCTTCGACATTCAAACCATCAACATCCTAGGTGGCGGCGGGTAGATGTCACCATTCACTAGAAATTGAACTGGACTAGCCATAAATATAGCAGCCACTAAAACAAGTTTACAGCTCACGTACTGACTGGTGAAAGCCTGTCCCACCATTTACAACACAATCAAGGTGTGTGTTGAAATACTCCCCACTTGTCTGGATGGGTGCAGCTTCAAAACACAAGCTCAACATTAATCAGGATAAAGCTGCCACTTGACTGGCACCTTGAACCAGTGATGCTCAGAAGCAGCAGTACCCTTTGCAAAATGCACTGCAGAAATCCACCAAGGCTCCTTCTGTCTTTCTTTATTCTAATATGCCACATTGGTGTCATGGGCAACATCGGCATTTGTTCCACATCATTAGTTAGATTTGAACTGATCGAAATGATCATTTCGCAGGAAAGAACCGCATACCTGTGGGTCTGGAGTCACATGTAAGGCTTGAAAGGGCAAAGATTAGTTACCAAACCTGCAGCCACCTCCACCTAGAAGGAGGAGGGCAGCATATACATGGGAACATCACTACCTGCAAATTTCCTCTCCAAGCCACTCACCAACTTGATTTGGAAATACCTCTGCTCCCTCATTGTCACCAAGTGAAAATTCTGGAATTTGCTCCTCCTTAACAGAAGTGGTTGCACCCAACAGAATTCAGTGGATCAGGGCAGTTAGGGATGGGCACATCCCATGAAAGAAATAAATTATTTTGTATCTCACGTGCCATTTTCAATTACCTTTGCTACCTGTGACCTGTCCACAGCTCACTTCTCCATCTAGCTTTGTATCATTAACAAAAATGTACCACTGCTTGGACTTCATCTAAAATTATTAATATAGATTGTGAATAGCGGAAGCCCAGCAATGATTCTTGCTGCACTCCACTCGTCTCAACTCAAATGCTCACTTTCTGCTTCCTGTCTGTTAAGGAGTCTATTAATTCAAACAGGTCAGCCATGAGCTTTTCCATTAAAAGCATGGAACATTATCCGGTCAATATTACACCATTGTCTGTGGGAACGTGCTGTGCACAGATCAGTTATCCTGTTTCGTACATCACAGCAGAAACTGTAAGGATACTGGAAGTTGTGAAAACAGCTGACAGAGAAGCAGCATCGCTACAGCAGGGGTCAACCAAGTCTGATTGATAAAGAAAATGTGAACTGCCCAATTGCTGCGGCCAACCTTTTAGACCAAGTGCTCAGATGTAGAATGAGTGTGGGCTCCACTCCATTTCAGGTCATGGCATTGTTGAACTGCTTTACAACTGACACGGTGAACAAGCTGCTCAAGAAGTGACAAAGGATCCCAGAAAAGTGTGAAATCAGAATGTGGTATTTTGAGAAACTGGGGACCAAGCTAATCAGCAGGTAACTAACTACATTGGTATTGTGGAATCTAAGTGGAACAAGCTGCAGAAACCCTTCTAGTTAGGAAGAATTTACTATGAAAACTACCTCAAAGCATTTGGAGGCTAATGTAGTTTGCTACATAAAATTACACAACTTATAGAACAACTTCATAAACAGTGCTTAAGTTTCAAGTGTGCATCCTCCCACCATCAGCATATCCCTTTCTCCCACATTTTTATATCCAGCTTCCCCCTTCAGTGTACCAATACCATTCCCCTCAACCAGTCCCTGTGGGACTAAGTTTAATATTGTCTTTGGATTTATTATGTTATCCTGATGTACCCAATCCCCACAAGTGCAGTATGGTTACACATATCAGGATGTTCCCAAAAATCAGAAATTCAGCAAGCCTATATCAAACATGAATCACATCTGAGGATGGTTAGTCAATAAAACACCATCTGCACTAAATGACATCTTACAAACTACTCAAAGAAACAGCTCATAGTGCAACACATGACTGGGCAAAAGCACGTTTCTCCATCACCACAGTCAATGGTAATATAGTCCTTACCCCAGTCAGAGCACAGCTATTGCTAACATGGTGCAAACCAAATTGCGAGTGCCAAGAGACACTCCATGCGGTATAGAAGAATCAGCTCACACTCCCCCTTTACCAGGCAGCCCAATATAGAAACTTCCCCAGCAGTAGGCCACAGGGACCACCCATTGCTGCCCTGTCTCATTGCCCATGATTTCACCAAGTGTTGTGCCAGCACTGATACCCTTAATATAACACCTCTGCCCCAGGTGCCAACGCCTAATTTCCCCAATACCTTTCTCCCACATATATAAAAGAACCCATGAGGCCCAGAAGAAAACCACCCTTGTCTCGTACCGGGGGCCGGGACCAAACCACTTCACATCTTCCCTCCACCGCAGGCTTTCCTTCCAATCTCATCCCTACATGACCTCTCTCTCTGGATTTTACCCCACTATCTGTCCCCAGCCCAGGATTTATAGCGAGTCTCAACCCTATTACCTAGGTTTTACCCCAGCCATCTTCACCCCGCCACATCAGTCTCCTATTTCTCCTTCTGAGTGTTCTGACCCCCCGGGTTTTACTCCTAATAGCTTTCTCGCCCCGTAGCTCTTATTTCCACGGCTTTTCCTTCCCACCCCCCCCTCTCTCAGTCTCTCCCCTTCTCCCACAGCCCAACCCCAATGGCGGCCGCGGCCTACACTCCCCTCCCTTCCTCCAGCGCCCAACCCTACGCTGAAGTCGCCGCCACCCCCTGCCCTCCCCTCTTCGGGCCACCCGATCTACTCCAGCCCCGCTCCAGGCGGCCATAGTCGCCTTCCCGCGGGGCCATTACCGCCACCGAACCCCACCGCCGCCACATGGACGCCACTCACCGTCCGAGAGACTGGCAGGAAAGGGCGGTGCTGCGCATGCGCATGCCCGGCTGATACCAGCCGCTGCGCCTGCGCCCTACCGAGTCCCGCCCCCTTCAACATTGCGCAGGCGCCGTCCTCCCCCACGAGGGGCGAGGGCATGGGAGGAACCCCATGCGCCTGCGCGAGACCATCTTAGCCCGATCCGCCCTGTTAGCGCCTGCTGCGCTCTGAGCCTGCGCAAGATGTCCACCCACTGGCTCACCTAACTAGTGTTCCGACGTGCGCCTGCGTGTGGCTCCTCTTCCCTTCCTTACATGCCTTAGTCACGCAAGGTGTCTGCGCATAAGGCCTCCGTCTCCGTACCTGCACGAGGCCGTCATGCACTGCGCCTGCGCAGGTGTTCCCTTCCCCCACCCTCTACTATTGCGCACTGCGTCCTCGCGGCCCCGCGCTGCGCATGCGCAAGATTCTGCTGACTCTGGACCTCTCAGACTCCGGAGTAGGGGGAGGGGGGACCCTTAAAGGGCCACCCCACCTTCCCCCACCCCTACGCCTTGCCACTCAACCAAGGCCTACCAGTATCGAGTTAGCAACAGAAAGTAGATGCAGGGTAAAAGGAAAGTTTCATTCCATGACAAAGCCTGAAGTGGAAGATTATTGTATTGGGGTTCTCCGGCTTGAAGGCATTGACTGGTGTATCCCTGCTTCTGTTTTTGATGCTACATAGTTAAAGCCATCACCACCGGTACTACAGATATGATGTGGCACTTCAGTCACTGGTCTTATCTATGCCAATAGTCATGAGGCCACAGTGTTGCCTGAGGGAGAGCCATGTTAATGGTGGAACTGTAGGACTGGTTGGAATGCTGGGAAATGGGGTTGGAGTATGAATTTTGCCACAATGGGCCAAGTGCCCTTTTTCTTTGCAGTAAATGCCCTATGATTCAGGAGAACTCCTATTGACTCTCCTTCCAATTGTAGTCATGGGATCTTTTACATACATCTAAAAGGTTAGACAGTGGAGGGGGCTCTAGACTCAACATCATCCATAAAACAATGGGCCTTTGACAGTGTACCACCCACTCCTGGGAGTGTCGTTTTGCATCATAGGCTCAATTCTCTGCAGTGGGACTTGGACTCTCAATTTTCTGAATCAGAAATGAGCAAAGTGACCCAATGAACGGTGCCAGAACATACTTTGATTCTGAAAACTATGCTTGACTATTTTGTCATATTTATATCTGCATTTTTAATCAAATTTTACTTTGTCGTTCACATAGAGCACACAGCAATTTAACATGCCCAGATGATCCAGCCTGCAGCTCAGACCCTATCTAACAGTGGAATGTATTTGATCTCCTAGCTTGAAGATTTAAGTAACAACTCAGAGATAGCAGGATCCACTGTGGATGTGGTAAGTACTACACAAATCCCACATATTTTCTTCAGTTTATGGTTTGCAATCAAGATGTAAAACCCATTATGACTTTAATTTGCATTGATACAAACTCTTTCAGCAAGTCATCATATCCTGAAGCATCATCCCAAGTGGTCAGGATCCAGGCAGTTGAAGGCACAGCCACTAATGGTGGAGTGATGGGATTTGGGGCATCAAAATTTCTTTCCTGGCATAGTCCTACTGTAATTCTCTCAATGGAAATCTTTCATAAGAACATAAGATGTACATAGGAACAAGAGAATGCCATTCATCCCCTCAAGCCTGGCCTGCCAAACGATGAGATCACGGCTGATCTGTAGCCTAACTCCATATATATGCATTTGGCCCAAATCCTCAATATCTTTGCTCAACAAAAATCTCAGATTTAAAATTAACAACTGATCTAGCATCCAATGCCATTTGTGGAACAGAGTTCTAAACATCTCCCACCCTTTCTGTGCACAAGTGCTTCTTAAGTAGGACCAGAAGTGGGCCGTTTGGCCCCTCGAACTCTTGCACTATTCGTTAAGATTATGGCTGATCTGATCATAGCCTTGACTCCACTTTCCTGTCTGATCCCCATTAACCCTGACTCCCCTATTGATAAAAAATCTATCTAATTCGGCCTTGAACATATTCAATGATGCAGTCTCCATTGCTGTCCAGGGAAGAGCGTTTCAGACACTAACAGCATTATGAGAGAAAACATTCCTCCTTATTTCAGTCTTAAACAGAAGACCTCTTATTTTAAACTGTCCCCTCGTTCCCCTTAAGGAAAACATCCTTTCAGTACCTACCCTGTCGTGTATGTTTTAATAAGATTGCCTCTCATCTTCTAAACTCCAATAAGTACAAACCCGAACTGTTCAACTGACAAACCTTTGACCCAAGACTTAGCTTAGTTAACCTTCTCTCACTGCTTTGTTGCAAATATGATCTTAAGGAGACCAGACCTGTACACTAAATTCTAAATGTGGTCTCACTAAGACCCCTGTACATAGAGTCACAGAGATCTACAGCACAGAAAAAAGCCCATTAGCCCATCATGCCTACGCATGTCAAAAACAAGTGCCTATGATTCTAATCCAATTTTTCAGTGCTTGGCCCACGGCCTTATATGCCTTGGTATCACAAGTGCTCGTCTAAATACTTCTTCAACATTATGAGGATGTCTGTCTCAACCAGCCAACAGAGCGTGGGTTTCCCGTGACTGTCTGGGTGAAAAAATATTTCCTGTCATGCCCTCTAAACCTCCTGCCCATTACCTTAAATCTATGCCCTCTAGTCATTGATCGCTCCACTGGGGGGAAAGGTTTAATCTTGTCTACCCTATCTATGCCCCTCATAATTTTATACATCTCAATCATGTTGCCCTTCAGTCTTTTCTGCTCCAAGGAAAACAACACCAGTCTATCCAATCTCTCTTCATAAACTATTAAAACTCTCCAGCCCAGGTAACGTCCTGCTGGATCTCCACTGCACCTTCTCCATTGTAATCACATCCCTCCGATGTGGATTCTGGAACTGCACACAATACCCAAGCTGTGGCGTCATAGATCATAGAATCCCTACAGTGTGGAAACAGGCCCTTCGGCCCAACGAGTCCACACCGACCCTCGGAGAATCCCACCCAGACCCATCTCCCTATAACCCACTTAATCTGCACACCCCTGAACACTACGGGGCAGTTTACCATGGCCAATCCACCTACACTGCACATCTTTGGACTGTGGGAGGAAACCCATGCAGACACGGGGAGAAAGTGCAAACTCCACACAATCAGTCACCTGAGGGTGGATTCGAACCCTAGTCCTTGACACTGTGAGGCAGCAGTGCTAACCACTGAGCCATTACGCTGCCCTAACCAATGTTTTATGTAATTCCAGCAAAAAGTCCATCTGATTTGCAGTTAAGATCAACATTCCATTTGCCTTCCTGTTCACTTGCTGTACTTGCATGCTAACATTTTATGAGTCCTAGAATCACCGAATGCTACTATGTGTAAGTAGGCTGTTTAGCTAATCAAGTCCACACTGACCCTCCAAAAGAGCGTCCCACCCAGACCCACCACCACCCTAACCTTGAAATCTTGCATTTCCCTTGGCTAATCCACCTAGCCTGCACATCCTTGGACACTGTGGGCAATTTATGATGGCCAATCCATCTAACCTGCACATGTTTGGACTGTGGAAGGAAACCCATGCAGACCCGGGGAGAATATGCAGACTCCACACAGACAGTTGCCTGAAGATGGAATCAAACCCAGGTCCCTGGTGCTATGAGGCAGCAGTGCTAACTACTGAGCCACCGTGCCACCCCAAAGCAAGGACACCCAAGTCCCTTTGTACTGTAGCATTCTACAGTCTGTCTCTTTCTCCATTTAAATAATATTCTGCTTTTCTATTCTTCCTGCCAAGGTAGATAAGTTAATTGTTTTCCCATGTTATATTCCAACTGCCAAATTTTTGCCTACTCATTCAGTCTATCCATATTCCCTTGCACACTTTCTGTATCCTCCTGTCAATGCTCAAACCTGATGTCAATACAATCGTTACCTTCTTTCAAGTCATTGATATAGATAGAAAAGAGTTGAAGGCACAGCACTGATCTCCATGGCACTTCACTAGTCATAGTTTGCCAACCTGAGAATGACCCATTTATTTGATTTCTTTGTTTCCTGTTAGACAATCCTCAATCAGGCTGAAACATCACCCTCAACACCATGAGTCTTGTGTAGTACTCTTTAAGTATTACCTTATCAAATGCCTTTTAAACATCCAAAAATGCCATAAGGCCGTAAGATGTATGAACACAGCTGGGCCGTTCGGCCCACTAAATCTGCTCCAGAATTCAATGAAATCGTGGATGATCTGATAATCCTCCACTCTACTTTCTTGCTTTATCTCAATAACCTTGATTTCCTTGCTGATTAAAAATCTGTCTATCTCACACTTTAAACATATTTAATGACCAAGCCTCAACAGCCCTCTGCAGTTAAGAATTCCACAGATTCACCACCCTCTGAGAGAGGAAATTTGTCTTTATCTCTGTCTTAAATGGGCAACCCTTTACTCTCTGGTCCTAGTCTGTCCCGCAAGAGGAAACTACCTCCTTGCATTTACCCTGTCAAGCCCCTTAAAAAATTTATATGCTTATAACATCTACTGGTTTCTGTCTATCTGCACGGGTTGTTACATCCTTGATCAACTTTAATAAATGTGTCAAACGTGATCTCCCTTTCACACAACCATGGTGATTCTGTCTAATTTGTAATTCTGATTTTTTTTTTTAACCTTTCAGCATTTTTCCCATTGAAACATCTTAGTCTAACTAGCCTGTAATTTCCTGCTTCCTGTCTCCTTCCTTTCTTTAATAGTGGTGTTACATTTACAGTTTTCCGATCCACTGGCATCGTTCCAAATTTAGGAAACTTTGGAAGATTACAGGCTATTGCATCTGAATTCTCTGCAGCCACTACCTCGAAAACAACAGAATAGAAGAGCTTTTATTGTCACGTGTGTGCGAATAAGTGCAGTGAAAAGTTTGTAATGTCGCCTCTTTGGCACCACCTTGGGTACAGGCTACCTAGGTACAGATACTTTAAGTGGTTGCTGCAGAATTTTTTAAAAAAGTCTAGCATAGCAATCAGATAGTAAGAACTGCCAATGCTGGAGTCAGAGATAACACAGTGTGGAGCTGGAGGAACACAGCGGGCCACACAGCATCAGAGGAGCAGGAAAGCTGACGTTTCGGTTCAGGACCCTTCCTGGAGCACAGAACGGGAGACAATCTGAGCCCAGGACGGCCTTTTCTGAAGAAGGGTCCCGACCCGAAATGTCAACTTTCCTGTTCCTCTGATGCTTGGCCTGCTGTGTTCCTCCAGCTCCATACTGTGCTAGCATAGGAATACAATGTTTTAAAAATTATTCGAATTGCTCAAAGTCCAGAATAAGAATAAAATGTATCTTTAAGGTACTCAAATTATATTCCTTTTCACTGAATCTGTGCCAGCTGCGCCTCAGAACATGAGGCCTTGCTGTCTCCATGCGCTGGCGTCCGACCTGGACCCACATTCGGGACTCGGCTCCCAGGCCGGCTTGGGTTCAGATTATCTCCCAGTCTGTGCTCCAGCCTGCAACTAGCCTCTGGGACACGGTTCCCAGGCCGGCCTGGGCTCCTGCTTTGGCTCCAACTTCGACTTGCTTCTGGGACTTGCCTCCTGCGCTGGAATGATCTCCGATTTGTTTCCGACGCGGGTATGGACTGAGACCCGCCTCCATTCCTCTGGGTAGGGCAGTTTAAGAAATTAAATTTTGGGGGAGAGGGGAAGAAAAACTGCAGGAAAGAGGAATAAAAAAAGAAAAAGGAAAAGGAACTGGTGAACAGAGGAGCTCTGGCTGGAGTGTCCTATTCTTCTGCTATCTTGGATTTTGGATGAACTGCATCAGAGTCCTGGGGACCTGTCAGCCTTTACTCCCATTAATAAGTCCAATACTTTTCTTTAAATAATAGTGTTACTTTTAAGTTCCTCCTTTTAGTTCTAATTTCTCTCTTCTTCGAATTTTTTTACATCTGCTACTAGAAAGCCATGCAAAATACCTGTTCAAAACAAAATCAAAATACTGACGATGCTGGAGATCTGAAATAAAAACAGAATATCAGCAGGTCTGGCAACGTCTATGGAGAGAGAAACAGAATCGGCATTTTGAGTCTAGTGTAATGTTTACACACAAGAGGCCATTCGGCCTATCATGTCCATGTTGGCCAACAAAGATCAGACTACATTAATCCCATTTTCCAGCACATGGCCCATAGTCCTGGAGGCAGTGCAAACCCAACTGAATATCTACATACTGCTTAAATGTAATGCAAGTTTCTGACTCAACCATCCTGCCCAGACTCCCACCCAGGCTCTGGGTGAAATATTTCTCCCCAGCTCTTCTCTTAGTCTTAAATCTATGCCCCCTGGTTATTGGAATGGAATGGTACAAGTGCTTTCCTATCCATCCTTCCTGTGCCCCCCCCCCCCCCCCACCAATCTTATACACCTCTATTTGGTAACAACTCTAGCCTTTCCAATTGTTCTTTATAGCTCAGGCCCTCCAGCCTGGGTAGCATGCTGCTAAATCTCCTCTGCACCATCTTTGGTACAATAACATCCTTCCTATCATGTGTTGACCAGAACTGCGCCCAGTTTTCCAGTTGTGGCCTAACTAGTGTTTAATACAGTTCCAGCATATCCTCCTTGCTCTTGTATTCTGTGCCTCGGTTAAGGCAAATATGCCATATGCCTTCTTAACCACCTTATCTGCTTGCCCCGTTCTCTGCTCCAGGGATCTGTGGATATGAACACCATCTTATTTTCAGTACTTTCTGGGCTCCTACGTTTCATAATGCAATCTCTTGCTTTGTTAGCCCTCCCCAAGTGCATTATCTCACAGTTTTGCGGGTTGAATTCCATTTGCCATGAATCCCGCAAACTCTTACTTTCTTGATCAGTTCGTCTTCTTCAGAACTCACTTGTTCAAAGTCTCTTCCATTTCCTCAATCCTCCCTATTAGTTCCTGTAAGGGACCAATACTCACAGTACTGTTTTCCGTTTATATACTTGAAGGAGTTTTTACTTTATTTTCATTTTATGCTAATTTTTACCTGTACTCCAATTTCTCCCGTTTTTTGTTAGTTGACCTTTGCTGCTTCCTAAACTTCCATCCTACCATTAAAGACCTCAGCATTGTAGACAATCTCTTTCAACTTGATAAAGTCCTTAATTTCTTTAGTTCTCAACAGATGTGATAGTATTTCCTTCTCAGTGGAAGAGTATTCAGAGTTACGACGTATAGCCTTTAATGTTTGTCATTGCTTTCTTACTGTCTACCATTTAACCTATTTTCCCCTTCTACTTTAATCAACTCTGTCCACATTGCTTTGTATCTGCCTTCATTTAGTTGGGAGGCTTGTTTCACACTTCGATTTCTAAACCTTAAATTGAGTGTGATGTCCTATTATGTTGTGATCAGTTTTACCCACTGTGAGACCATTAATTAACCCTGTCTCGTTGCACATTATCAGGTCTAAAATAATCTGTTCTCCAATTAGTTCCAGAATTTATTCTTTTGAAAAGCTATCCCAAATACACTTGAAACCCATTTACCAGGTGATCTTTGCCAATTTGTTTCATTCAATCTAAATGAAAACTAAAATCACCCAGGATACAGAACCAGAGAGAGGTTATGGCACCGAAAGAAGCATTCAGCCCACTGAATCTGTGCTGACCAGTAAAGAGGAAAACAAAACTAGGTGCTCATTTTAATCACACTTTCTAGCGCCTAGTCTGAATCTTTGTAGGTTACAGCACTTTAGGAACAGATCCAGAACCTTTTAAATGAGCTGAGAGTTTCTGCCTCAAACACCAAACTGGTTGGCAATAATCCAGAGATTAGTGCCTTTGAGGTTCTGCCTTTTAAGTTAACCCTGATCTGCTATTAGCAGTATCTCAGCAGAATCTCTTTTTTTGGTCCTAACTCAGACATTGGTACTGAAAATGACTATGGTGTCTGGACCTTTCCCCTTTCACTCCAAATTCCTTTCTGGGCATGGGGAGTTTTTTGTTTTCATTCACTCATAGAATGTGGGCGTTGTTAGTTGGCTAGCATTTATTGCCTGACCCTAGTTGCCCTTGAGAAGATGGTGGTGAGCTGCCTTCTTGAACTGCTGCAATCCATGTGCTGTAGTAGGCTTAGGGAAGGAATTCCAGGATTTTGACCCAGTGACAGGGAAGGAGCAGCAACCTAAGTCAGGTTGGTGAGAGGTTTGGAGGGGAACTCGCAGTTGGTGGTGATCCCATGTATCTGCTGCCCTTGTCCTTCTAGAAGGAAGTGATTGTGCATTTGGAAGGTGCTGTCGAAGGTCTTTGGTGAATTTCTGTCGTGCATCTTTTAGATAATATGCACTGTTGCTACTAAGTGTCAGTGATAGAGGTAGTGGATGCTGTAGCTGCAGTGCCAAACAAATGGGCTGCTTTGTCCTAAATGGTATTGACCTTTTTGAGTGTTGTTGCAGCTGCACCCATTCAGACAAGTGGGCAGTACTCCATCACACTCCAGACTTGTGCCTTGTAGATGGCAGACAGGCTTTGGGAAGACAGTATGTGAATTAGTTGTAGTACTCCTAGCCTCTGACCTGCTCTTGTAGCCACTGTATTTATGTGGAGAGTCCAATTGAGTTTCTGGTCAATGGTAACCCTCAGAATGTTGATGGTGGGGAATTCTGTGGTGATAACACCATTGAATTTCAAGGGGCGGTGGTTAGGTCGTCTGTCTAATTGGTGATGGTAATTGCCTGGCACGTGTGGTGCGAATGTTACTTGTCAATTATCAACCCGTACCTTCATATTGTCCAGATCTTGTTGCATGTGAAAATGGACTTATTCAGTCTCTGAGGAGTCACGAATGGTGCAAACATTGGTGAACATCCCCATTTCTGACCTTATGATGGAGGGAAGGTCATTGATGAAGCAGCTGAAGATGGTTGGGCCTAGGAAACGACCCTGAGGAATTCCTGCAGAGATGTCCTGGAGCTGAGATAAGTGACCTCCAAAAACCACAACTATCTTCCTTTGTGCCAGGTATGACTCCAATCAGCAGAGAGCTTTCCCCCAATGTCCATTGATTCCAGTTTTGCTGGGGCTCCTGATGCCGCATTTAGTCAAATGCAGCCTTGATGTCAAGGGCAGACACTCTCGACTCACCTCTGGAATTCAGCTCTTTCTTTTCCATGTATGACTGAAGACTGTAATGAGGTCAGGAGCTGAGTGGCCCTGGCAGAACCCAAACTGGGCATCACTGAGCAGGTTATTGCTGAGCAGGTGCTGCTTGATAGCACTGTTGATGACACCTTCCATCCTGATGATCGAGAGTAAACTGATGGGGCGGTAATTGGCTGGATTGGATTGGAGATGTCCTTAAACCTGGCGCCAGATAGACAACACAGCCATTGAGTTTCAGGCCCTCAGCTGCAGAAAACATCATTTACACTCCCTAACCATACTGCTCCCTACGCACCTGCATATCTTTTACTGGAATGGCACCATGCACCACGGTGTGGTAGTCAGTTTTCTTGTCCTTCCCAAAGTCCTGGCTCTGGTCCATGCAAGCTGCAAAAACCCTGGACATTTTGAACAGTTGCCAAGACCAAAGCTCCTCCAGTTGCTACGTTCTAGATCCCCATACTTGCCTCATTTATTGTCACACACCCTGGGCCGTGACCGCTGACCAGATCAGAAGTATCTAGCCCAAGAGGTATAACTGCTTCCTTCAGCAAGGTGTCCAGGCATTTTTCCTTGTCCCTGATGCATAACAGTGTGCTGTGCACATTCTTCAGCTCATCAACTTAGAATCTGATTTCCTCATGTTGCAGATACTATATGCGTGATGAATATTTGATGTTTCTCCTTGTATTGGTAGTCTTGCAAATTGTCCTGATGAGTGCAAGACTGAAAAGCTTTGACAAAATATGCCTGTTTCTCAGCAATTTTCTGTATTGCAAAACAATAATTAAAATAATGCTCCCTCTGTTTTCCTTCAGCTATCTGTGATGTTTATTCCCACATTTCACTTGCTGAAGCCTCGACAGTTAGTGACAAAGTAAGATTGTAATAAATGGGAACAGGTGTCGGCTGTTCAAACCCACAAGCCTTCTGTACCATTCATATAGATCATGAGAAAAGACTGTGGACTTAAAGTTATGTCTTTGTTCGCAAGACAGATTAATAAGTCATCAACAACTTGCATTTATATAGTGTCCTTAGCATGGTAAAATATGCCCAGCAAATTCACAGGAGGATTCACAGGCAAAGATTGGAGAAGGAGACTTTAGAATCCATAACTTTTTTTTTGAGCGTATTTATACTTTGGAGAAGCAGTGAAAAGACACAATGTTACCTCAACATTGGCACAATGTCTTTTCCAAAATTTGTCCGTCTTGACGTGAAATCCTTCAATGAGTGTACACAGACCATGCAAAGGTCACAGCACAGAACGTCCTGTCCACATGCACATCATTCTTGTGGGATTTGTAACATAGGTTTTGGATCTTGAATTGGGCTGATTTTCTCTTTGGTGAAAGTGTTTTTGTCAAATGAGCTTCATAGCACCCATGGCTCAGCACAACTTTATCATGCAAACTTCCAACCTTTATAAATTAGGCAGCCAGACTCTCGGGTGTCTTTCTCGGGGAATCGCATGTCCAGAGAGACGGAAGTGTTACCACTGGCGGGACTGTTTGAAGTACACCGTATTTAAACTCCAGGAAAGCTTGCTCCCAGCTTTGTTGACAAGAACCTGGAGATGTACTGATGAATGGGCTTGTGAAGAAGAGTGCAGTACTTTTTCCCTTGAACCACCACAGAAAGCCGCATTGCCAGACCCAGCCAGTCTGAACGCAGATTGCAGCCCGAGTCAGTGCTGCTTCCCGAGTGAAGTTGGATGCCCAGTAGTGCAGGAAGAAGGTCAATGATCTCCTTCACTCTGTAAAGGTAAGTGCCATCACCTTTTCTCTGCTACCTCGCACTTACCAGGCCACCGTTCGCTCCAGCTTTCTCGCTGCACACATCTCTCACCGAGGCTCATGAACCACAATTCTCACTATCATGTGGATTACGACCACTTCTATAGCTTTCGTCCACCTCATCCTTCTAAACTACTTCCTGCTCTCTGCACTTCCTACTCACTCGTTGGGGACACCTCACAACCTCCCCTGCTCACACATCACCTCTAAACGCTCTTCCATCCATTTCCATTGTATTCAATTCTTCCCAAAGTCTCATTGCCGGAAATATTGGCCTACCACCCTGGATTGATGTCTCAATTAAATACCAACTGAGTTACCTGTAAACCCCAGACTGTTTGCACTTGACGTGCAGGACTGACTTTGGCCCGATTCCCAGACTCTGGAAAAATCAACCCCTGACTGATTTTGGCCCCCCCTATTGACTGGAATCAGACTAGCCTACTGGCTGAATGTGGCTGTACTCCCTGACTGATTGTAGGCGCCCTTCACCCCACAAAGGACTGTTCCCCTTTGACTTTCACACATGGCCATTTGCATGAAGCACATAGTGTGCTTGCTACGTAAACCCCTGGCACATGCTGCAGGTCTGACATTGGTGTAGAGTGGTGCTGCAGACGACCTTATCTAACAGAGATTGTTCAGTACTCCCTACCATCATAAGCCGCCTTTTCCTCTGCACTCAAGAACAACGCCTGCCACAGAGGCTAAGCAGTCTGGAACTAATGATCCGGTTTGCTAAGAAAACAATGTAAAGTGTGCAGAGGACGGCAGCTTCTGAATGAGTGTAAAGTGAGTGAGGGGTCTGAAAGCGAGCTAAGACCCATTAGATGGATCTTGAATAACTGCGTGAGATGCATGTATGTCCCTGCCTTCAAAGTGACCTGATAGAAGCATACAAGTAGTCGTGACCGAGATTACTTATTGACATCTCAAACTTGGAATTCCAACATTTTTTTTTAAAAGGATGTACAGAGAAACAGGAGTAGGCCACTCAGCCTCTCTACTCCATTCCACCATTCAATGAGAACGTGGTTGACCTGTGGCCTAACTCCATACACTGGACCTGCCTTTGGCTCATATCCCTTAAATACCTTTTACTTAACAAAAGTATATATATCTAAGATTTAAAATTAACAACTGATCCTGCATCCGATGCAGTTTGTTGAAGAGAATTCGAAAAATGTACCACCCTTTGTATGTTGAAGTGCTTCCTAACATCTTTCCTGAATGGTCTGGCCCTAATTCTCAGACAGTGCCCCCTTGTTCTAGAATCCCCAACCTGTTGAAATAGTTTATCTTTATCTACCTAAAACTAAGATTGGTGGAGTAGCAGATAGTGAAGGGGACTGTTGGAGAATGCAGCAGAATATAGATAGGTTGGAGAGTTGGGCGGAGAAATGGCAGATGGAGTTCAATCCAGGCAAATGCGAGGTGATGCATTTTGGAAGATCCAAATCAAGAGCAAACTATAAACGGTAAATGGAAAAGCCCTGGGGAAAATTAATGCACAGAGAGATCTGGATGTTCAGGTCCATTTTACCCTGCAGGTGGCAACGCAGGTGGATAGAGTGGTCAAGAAGGCATACGGCATGCTTTCATTCGTCGGACGGGGTATTGAGTACAAGAGTTGGCAGGTTATGTTACAGTTGTGCAGGACTTTGGTTCGACCACATTTGGAATACTGCGTACTGTTCTGGTCGCCACGTTACCAAAAGGATGTGGATGCTTTGTAGAGGGTGCAGAGGAGGTTCACCAGGATGTTGCCTGGTATGGAGGGCGCTAGCTATGAAGAGAGGTTGAGTAGATTAGGATTATTTACATTAGAAAGACGGAGGTTGAGAGGGGACCTGATTGAGGTCTACAAAATCATGAGAGGTATAGACAGGGTGGATAGCAAGAAGCTTTTTCCCCAGAGTGGGAGACTCAATTACTAGGGGTCATGATTTCAAGGTGAGAGGGGAAAAGTTTAAGAGAGATATGCGTGGAAAGGTCTTTACGCAGAGGGTGGTGGGTGCCTGGAACGCGTTGTCAGCGGAGGTGGTAGAGGCAGGCACGATAGCATCATTTAAGATGTATCTAGACAGATACATGAAGGGGCAGGGAGCAGAGGATACAGATCCTTGGAAAATAGGTGACAGGTTTAGTTAGAGGATCTGGATTGGCGCAAGCTTGGAAGGCTGAAGGGCCTGTTCCTGTGCTGTATTATTCTTTGTCCTCTGTTCTTTGTTCTACCCTGTGTTACAACCAAAGTAGACTGGAGGTAAAATAATTCAGTGGCTGCCTTGGGGTGGGGGGGAGCTGAGTTTGTGGAGGAGGGGAAGAGAGAGAGATACACACACAGACACACTCTGGAATGTCACACCTGATGAGGTGTCGAAGAATCTTCAAAGTGAAAAAGTGCACTCCAAACTGAATTTGTAATCTGTGAGTATCTTAGACTATGAGCATGATTGCTAAAAAGATTGAAGTCTGGGTGACAGACATAGAGTCTCTATAGTGTGGAAACAGGCCATTCACCCCAACAAGTCCACACCAACCCTCCGAAGAGCATCCCACCCAGACCCACCCCCTAATCTATCTCTGCATTTCCCACCCTAGATACTTTGGGCAATTTAGCACGGCCAATCCGCCTAACCTGCACATCTTTGGACTGTGGGAAGAAACCAGAGCACCCGGAGGAAACCCACACTGACACTGGGAGAACATACAAACTCCACACAGACAGTTGCCTGAGGCTGGAATCAAACCCAGGTCCCTGGTGCTGTGAGGCAGCAGTGCTAACCACTGAGCCACTGCCACTGTGCCACTCCATCTGCATTTTCTCCCTTTCAAGAATGCAGTGTCAGAAACCTCTTTTACTATTTTAACCATTTTTAGTTTGGAACTGAGAGCTGAAGATAGCTTTTGACCTGTAAGCAGCAAGTATATTTTCTTGTAAGCTTGTTACAAGAAAAGACAATAAACAAACTGATATTTGTTTATGAGGCCAGGCCTGGAAGTTAATTGCAATCGATTCTTCTTCGAAGGACTCTAGACCTTTCAGTTCCAGAGATGCATAACGTCAAACAGATAGCAGATGTTTGAGTGTTAACAGTGGCCATCATAGGGAGGCTGGTTCCGAGCAGCCCTACGAAGAGAACATTGAAAAAAAGGCGAAACCAATGTTTGAGAGAGATAGTAGGAACTGCCAATCCTGGAGAATCTGAGATAACAATGTGTAGAGCTGGATGAACACAGCAGGCCAAGCAGCATCAGAGGAGCAGGAAAGCTGACGTTTCAGGTTGAGACCCTTCTTCAGAAACCAATGTTTGAACTGGTTTTGAACTGTATTTTTTGTCGGAAGGATTGTGGCTGTCAAAGCTACAGGAAGGAGATCTGACTGCTCTCTAGTTGTCCTCCCTGATTTTATTGAAAGTTCGGAGAATAGATTCTCAGTTATAAGTATTAAGTGAATATTCCTTTGAGCCTACTGGAAGCTATTTTTATTCCCCGGTGTCCTTACAGACTGTGGAAACTACTTAAGTGAACTGGCCAGTTACATCTCTTTTTTTACTTTTGATTTATCCTTTAACTATGTCAGTTTGTCCATCAGTCTTTGTTGGAGTGGGGAGTGGGAGTGGAAAAACGCCACAGAGGCCAGTATCCTGTCACCAAGTCATCCTTTATTTACTGTGCACAGTATTTGACACTGTTTTAGCTTCCACAGAGCCAGCTGTCAGATTGAACAGGTCCAGATTAACAGCTCCAATCAGTGAACTCAAATTCTATGAGGTCCACTTGGCTGACCTCATTCAAATTGCTACATCCCTCCTCTGCTGGGTCTGGGGATGTAGGCGTGTGCTTTGTCTTGTAGCCTCTCCTGGTGAGTTTTCACACTGGGTCTGGTTCGTCCAACTTGGCCTTGTCCTCTTTCAATAGCCCGAGCAGGGGTTTATGGTCTGTTACTGTAACAAACTTACATCCGTAAAGGTATTGGCGGAGCTTCCTCATACCAAAGATGATGGCCAAACCTTCC